TCTGTTTCTTGTAATTCAGTATTAAATTCAAATAAGTTTAGTTCGAAGAAAAATTCGATGAATTGTTTGCTACAGGATTGTAAAGCTGAGCCTTTAAAGTGTTTCGGGTTTTGAAACACAATTTCTTCTCGTTTCAATTATTAAACTTGATATTGTACTTTCAACGACAGAAATCAGTAGTCCATATTGGGATTTGTTATTCATACTGTTGCTTGATTTTTTCTTGCTCAACTTATATAATTTTTAGTCGAACGCTAAGCTCTGTACTTCTTTCGAATTGCAGTATGCTACCCTTTTAGACATGATGTGTTCCGCACCAACATTAAAAAAATGACACATCAGAAAGGTCGGAGTGATAACCAGACTTGGTATGACATGTGACGAAAATTTTAATATCACCAAGATCGGATTTGGCATATGATCATTCAACACACTGTAAACTAAATAAAATGGCATTTAGTTCCTTAGAGATGGAATTTTTTTATTGGATGACAGACTTCAGTAAACAAAAAAGAGAAAAAAAAAAAAGAAAAAGAAAAACGGCTTCCAGCAAATACGACATGACATAAAGATACGTGTGGGTAGCGCAATTACGGATGGAATAGCGGATTTTTCGCGAGATATCGTACCTATAGCTATGATTAGGACTGTTAGCCACTATCAATCTAAAATGGTGGCACCACTTTTGGTTTATAGTCGAAGGACAAGCGTGACAATTTAGCATAATTGTCATCCGATTCTTGCATTCTCACTGAATGTTTCAGTTAAATTTTGATACACACATTTCTTCATAAAATTAAGTGGTATGCAAAAGGTTTACTTAATATAACAGATTAAATTTTTTTTTTCTTGTCATCCATGAATAAGACTTGTTTAATCGCAACAGTTAAAATATTAATGTAAAACTTACCACAGTTTCCAAATTTCAAGATGATATACAACATTGAACGAGTTTTAAAAGAGAGTCTTTTAATACAGTAATCGTTGTTTTTCAGATGGAAGGATGGGATCCATCTGTACATGTTTTGGAATGGCGAAGATTAAAAGACGAAATGGCCAAGGAGTGGAATAAGAATGGTAAGAGATGGATGGAACAAGTGGAGGAGGAGCTAACATCTCAGGAAGGAACAGGAAATTGACAAGGAGTTTCGTTCAAATCAATCTCATCCAAGATGTTTGTAATGGAAAAAGTGACAAAACTTCTGCGAAAAAGGATGTTGTATAATCGAGTTTATGCAAGATTGAACATTCTGTGGGAAGTTTTTTAATTCTACAGATGCTTGAAAATATTTGATTTTTCAACTGACATTTCTGCGGACATTAAAAGTTGATGGTTGGAAATCATTAAAATCACTTTATAAATGAAATTAAACTAGATCTGTTGTTTGGAATATTGAATGTTATTTTATCTCTTTTTTTTTTTATTGATATCATTTTTGAATTTGCCTTACTAATATTATAATTGTTGAGTTTTGTTACTGTCTTAATTAGCTCATCGGAATAATGGTTTAATTATCCATGTTTGACTTTGTGGTTTTATTATTCAAGTGTGAAAAGCAAGGAAAAGTAAAGGAATGGACAAAAAGAATCAAAATCAACGAAACAGAATTAACCCGCAATCTTTGTCACAATC